AAAGAAAGAAAGAAACCTCTACACACAGTATCTTGTTATTCTCACATTCAAGGTGGTTTTCAGCAAACTGGGCAGAATCTGCAGCTTGGGCTATTTCCTTATTGCCATCCTTTATCCTTTGTTGATTCGTTGGTTACTTTATTACAAAAATAACAGAGAAAAATTACTTCCATTTCAGTCTTCTCCCTTATTAATTCACAGTTTAAAAGTTTGAGACTTACAATAATTGTTTAGTTCTTTCTCATTACCAAATAATATATAGTCTGTCCTCCAGAAGCATGTGTATGCTACAAATTAAGTGTAGAGATATATGTACATTTCAGTTGTTTGTAATGTAGACAAGGCCACAGTATTTATAGTACAAAAGATGGAATAATTTGCTAACAGAAACATAAACACCTTGAATTTTGAAGAAACAGGACGTGAGAGCCGACACCCAGGGCAACACCGAAGCTAGCAGAGTCAAGACCGGAATTCGGGACTGTTGATTCCTAGTATTTGCATCAATTAGAATCAAATCAAGTTTTTTAAAACACATATGTGCAGAATCTGGTGATTAGATTTTCGGTTTCTCACGGCTGGTAAAGAGAGAAGCACCTATAATTTCTGGAGGAAAGCATAGTGTTGAAATGTCCAACACATCTTGTTGGATTGAGGGTACGGTGGTATACTTGGGACCTGTATTGCAGACAGCACCAAGCTTAGAATGGGAACTTTTAGTATTTAACTTTGATTTTCCACGTTTTAAAGTATTAACTATCTAACACTGCTATGAAAATTATGCCATTAAGCCCTTTCAAATCATTATATTGTCTTTCAGCAAGATACACGGAACTAAAATAAGATGTTTGCATCCATATTCAATAAACCACATGTACAAGAACGAAGGCAAAAAGACAAGGGGAAAGGAAGGAAGGAGTGTGGTATTTGGGAGATAAGAGAGGAGGAGAGAATGCCATATGTTTTCCTACTTATTAAAAACACATGCATAGGAAAGGCATTCCATTTACACTAAATTTTGGAATAAAACCAAGCTTATAATTTTTAATCACTGAGGCAGTGAGAAAATATTCTTAGTTGATTTTAAAATACATTTTAGTAGGCATTAACAGTGCTTATTATCTAGCTCATTTGAGTCAGTCACCCTAAGGGTTAGTGAATTAATCATTCATTTGAAGTCATCAGCTAATGAGTCATGAATAGCTCCAAGCTGTTAAGAAATTATTATTTTAAAAAATAAAATCACTTTTTTCTGTACTCAGATATTTTCTGTGTTCATTAGGTATGTATTTTTCCCTAAAACATTTCCAAATTCCAAGTGTGTTACCTTGTGTTATCGTTTACAATGTTAATAACCTGAAAAGTCAAATTAACTTTCCAGCCAGTTAGTTGAACAGTTAAGGAATTATCTTTCAAAGACTCTTGCATTTTATGAGTTTGTTATTAATGCCTATTACTGTTTCAAGACCTGAAGAGGTTCAAATAAAATACATATGAGCAAAAAATATGAAGCACATTTAGAATCTGGATCGAACTGAATATAGGATATAATTATTCCTTACTCTGTAACATGCTTACTATACTTTAAGTGATAGGAAAATTTCTCTTCTGAAGTAATGTAAGTGAAATATATTCTCTTTGGCATGTGAATACCACATTCTGTTTTATATTGGTTACCAAGGTGTTTAGCAACTTACAAAGTACATTTAATATTAAGCCAGTCTTTTCTTACCCAGATTTCTTCTGGCAATGATATATACTAAGAAATTCTGACACAAAATTATTGGATGTTTATGAAATTCCACCGAAAGGGTCTAGTTCTAAAA